AAACACCAGCAACTTTTTCACCGACACGGCCTAAAGTACCCGCACTGTTGCCGCCTTCAACATCCAGTCGTTCGACACCGGAAACGAGCCAGGCTGTCAGCGACGATTCCGGCTTCATCAGTGGAATTTCAAGTCCAGCAACTGTTTTGAATGCTAGCGCGGTTAGTTTTCACATTCTCTGTGATAATTCGCGATAAGATGATTCCTTTTCGTATGAATTTCGAGAGAAAACAGTTCTGGGGAGCATCGGCAAAAAACAACTCGGATGACATCTAAAGGGATAATGTGCATAAAATAGTCGAGATGTTGGTACCAACTTAGGGAGAGTATTTCTAGGCCAGTAGAGCTTGGCATGTTTTCCTTAACATTTAGCTGTGTGTGACGGGAACGCCGTATCAAGTATGGCTGCATCACAGTAATTTCGTATTGTAGAGAATGTAATTTGAGCAGAAAGGAAACTTTTAGATTTTGCTTTCCATTATCTAAAATATGCATAACTTCACGGTATCTGAAACATGCACAGCATTGCGGTGCCTGAAATGTTCGTAGCTTGTCCGTTAAAGCATAAGGATATGCCTAGAGCATGCCTAGATTTTCTCGCATTTCTGATATGGAATATCGCCTTTTGTTAAATCCAGGAAAGCAAGTCTTCCTAGCCCTCCCGTTTAAAAATCTTAGCTTGTACGCGTTCTAGATCTCGCGTACGGACCTCCGAAAAAAATATACAAATTTCTTTGGCGGGAAACGATTTCGTGAACCAGAAGAGATAGAAGCTAAAACTTTGCAGGGATATTCTCTGTGCATATATATGAGCTAAAGATTTCAAATTCAGCTGTTGCACACGCTTATATCCAGCTGTTTTTTCGGCATTGTAGTAACTAACGTCAAAGTTACAGCAGTTTGATTTTTATCGAAAAATTCCAAATATCTCTTCCTTGTGTGTGGATAATGGGCTGTAGAATAACACAGTTTCTAACTCATTAACTTATCCCTAACTCATTTGC